TTGGAGACAAGATTCACATATTGTCTCAAGATTCTGATTACGACGAGCTCCTGCCAACGACCTTCTGAGGAACACACATGTCTTCTATCATGATGGGGCGTCTAACACCTTAGTCAAAGATGTTAGGATAATCCAAAATGTACTTCGCACCTCAGTAATCCCAAAGGCTGATGATCATGTCTACATCACTCCCCCCTTTCAATCACCACCTTTTAGATAATAGCCCATAGGGAATTTAATGCCGCTGATCTTCTTTTTTTATACACTGTAGCATCTGACTAGTATTAGGGATCCAGACACAGAAGAAAGTCTAACCTTACCTTAGGACACATCATAGCTTACGTCCAGAAAAACAAATACAATTTTCAATATCCTGCCCCACTTGATTTTCATCTTGTCTTATACACCAACAGCTGCTTCCATATTCTTCATAGCACTCGTCTCCATCCAAAGCATGAGGAGGTTAAGGGAGCTGAGGGGGAAGCTGCTCCTGCACCTGCTCCTACACCTATTCCAATCCGCTAGCAGTCACAGCTGGATCAACTGGTGGAGAGCTTTGACCAGTGGGAGGCTAGGTTCGACTCTTACGTTGTTGCACAGGAGCAACAACATGAGGAAGATATTGCTAGATTTGATGCGTACGTGACACACCAGCAGCAGCAACACAACCAGGATATGGCTTGGTTTGGAGAGCAGTTCGCTGCCATTTCTAGTTTCTTTCAACCATCTCTTAATGATCAAGGCCCTTCGTACTTATAGAATGTTTTTCTTGTGATATTTTTTGTGATGTTGTTAATTTATATTTTGTATTTCTATTATGTATTTCTTTTCTATTTTCTCTTTTTTGTGATGTCAAAATGGAGAGTAGTGTTACTGTGTTCATGTTATTTTATTGTATTGTTATTTTTTTTCATATTACTATCGTTTAGTGCTTGTAACACCTGTTTGATTTTAGTAAAATTTGTATTTCTTGGTTCATAAAATTTTCTTTTACGTTATGTTTCATTTAACTGCTTAAGTTGAATTTCCTACTAAATATTTGTCATCATCAAAAATGGGAAGATTGTTGAAAATTTGGACTAAAAAATTATAATTTTGATGATAGCAAACATTTCTGGCATTTCTGTTTTTGTACTATTGCCCTGCCTAATAATGTTTTAGGTCCACAAGATCAATAGCAAATCAAGTCAACTCAAAATTGGGTAGATTAGGACTGAGGCATTCTGTAAGTATATTTTTAGTATTTTTACCTTTCTTGAGTCAAATGTAATAATGTGAATCATGATGCTAAGTAATCTTGCACATACACACTTAGGAGGAGAAATTCTATAGGCTTAAAAGTTTTTCTATATTTTATCACATCGTACAGAACGATCCAAAATCATCCTGGATGTTCGATTAAAAATAGAAACTTCAATTAGGGCATCCTTATTAAGACAGCCGAATTAAGCAAATCATCCTAGACGATATTCACATCGTCTTGGATGATAGGCTTAAATCAGAAAGAATCAGTCGCTAACTCTTTTAGGAATGTTATTAATTTTAGACATCGTACATGACATTATCCAGGATGATGCATTACAATTATGCCTAAATTAGTTTGATGATTAAAGAAAGCAATTAAGATTTAATTGATCGATCATATCGTCTTGGACGATCGCAGGATCGTCCTGGACAATCAGTTAAACAAACCTTAATTTCTTCATGAATCATCCTGCACGGACAGAACAATGTGTTGGACGATATTTATTTATTTGAACTAATTGTACAGGACGATCCAAGAATCGGCCTGAACGATAGGTTATTTTTTTATCATCCAACATGTAAAATCTGACCGAACAGAGCGATGTTCTGAATAATATTTAAAGTTTTGAACTAATCGTACAGGACGTGTCCACATCGTTCTGGATGATTAGAACAAACAAGTTTTCTAATCATCCAGCCCTCCCAGATTGTCCTGGCCGAATGAAATGAATATGTACTGATCGTACACGATCGATTTGTTGATCATCCTGGACGATCTTTGACTGTTAGTTGCAATTTGGGGCACATTTTAAGCCCTTCCATATAAGATCTCTTGTTTAGCCAAGATTAGAACTTTTGTTGTTGTCCTGACTGATCTGAGAGAGCCAAGAGAAGGAGAGGGAGAGCTTGGAAGGGAGAGAGTGGATCTCGTAAGGAGTTTGTGAGGGGTTCACAAAGGTTGATCCAAATAAGGATCCAAGTCGCCTTCTTCGGTCATCGTTCCTGGTTCCTTTGAGGTTCTAGAGATGTCTACTTCAACGATCGATCGATGTTCTTTGTCTGCTTCAGGAAGAAACAAAAGGAGGTTGAGGTTCTCTGCCTACTTCAAGAGGAAGCGAAAGGATGTCAGGTTCTCTGACTCGCCGGAGTCGGTGGAAAGGAGTTTGTAAAGACTTTTCCACCTTGTTGTGGGAGCAAAAGGAGAGTCATTGAGTTTAGTGCAATACCCGGAGGAGAGGCTACGAGGAGTGGACGTAGTTCTAGTTGACCGAACCACTATAAAATATGGTGTGCTCTTTCTTATTATGCTTCCGCATTTTAATTTCCGCACTTTATTTTTATGTGGGTGTTCATATGATTTAGATCGTGATTTTTGTTTGAATTTTTTTTTAAATATAACCAATTCACCCACCTCTCAGTTAGCCTCGGACTAGTTCATAAGGGCTTAACATCCCTAACGAACTTTCACACCGGATGTTATATACAAATGTCATACGAATGCACAAAAAGTTAAGTGCATGGTGCAAAGATGTTTAAAGTTGTACTAAAAATAGATACTGAAAATTTAAAAATCATTTTGTGAAATTCGTACAAATAACATCATACAAACTTGCATTTTTTCTTCGTATTTTTTAATTTAAAATTTTTGAGTTACCTTCTTTAGTCTTGTATGAGAAGTTTATGGATCCGGTGGAAAAAAAGACAGTGTTTGACTATTGTATTTTAGTATATTGCACATTTTTAGAGATTTTTATCGTTGCATTCTATCCGCTTGCACAAAATATTACATATTTGGTGGCTAAGGCGATATAGGGAATGAATATGGGGTGGGTACTGGCACAAGTTCATCACATTTTAAACATATTGTACTTCTAATTTTAATAATATTTTCTTTTACTTAAGCGGGAACCACAAGAGCATTTTCCCTCCCAATATATATCTGATGAATGAAGGAGCTCATTTCATGCAATCCAACATTCAATTGACTTCTCTTGGGTTTCATGCAAGCTTGAATTGTGGGTTTTTATGTCTTAGAAAGTTCTGGAATTATATTCGTGCTTAAGCTAATTCATTATATTAATTCAATTCCCTATACATCTTGTAATGTGTTCTCTATTTGCATTATTTCTCGTGCGATTTACATTTTATTTTTAAATATTTAATTTATTTTTTTATTGTTTAGGTAAGTAAATTTTGCAAATTACCAAGTCCTTATAATGCAAGTTTTGTTCCTTATAGGGTATTTAGGTCCCCTATTGTGCATTTTTCTTTTTTAAGCCTCAAATTTCAATGGAAATTCTGGCAATCGGGCATATGGGGGAGATTCGAGGGGTTTGAGGTTTTGGGCCTAACCACCGCTCTAAGAAAAGCGCATATGGCCAATGTAGGGTAACACTGTGACTTGAATTTTAAAACCCACCCGCCAAAAAAGGCATGTATGGTGTATATGCATGAGAAATTTATGTCAGCTCAAAATACTTGTTTGCATTGCAAAAGCAACTAATGAGGCTCCTACCACCATGCTAAGAAAAATGTGTACAAGATTTGTCATACAATGAGGAGCACATCGCTCACAAGTTGACTTGCTGCACCACACACTTCGCCAATGAGCCTCCACTTATAACGCTAAGAAAAACATGTATAGGTTCTTTCTCGCAGCGATGAGCGCGTATCTAGTGGGGTCCACCTTTGATGTTGCAAATTTTAACTTTCAGATAAATAAATATGCTCGTTGATCCGCTTGCTAAGATTTCATCGCTCACATACGTCGATCTTCGACTTGATTTGCAAGCTTGGGTAGATTTTCTTATCGATTTTATTGTGCCGGCACCCGAGCAATGTGGCTATCTTCTCTGTAGTTTTGACATGTTCAAGACAAACTCGCACTTTATGTTTCCAGAATAGAGATCCCTCGGGCAACGTCTTCACCCGATTTTAGTGCTTTCGTTCGTCTTCGCTCGATTTGCTCACAAGGGATCTCATTTGACTACTTTCGATGTTCCATTCGCAACAGCGCAATGCATTTTGCAATCAGAGATCATTTCGAGTGATTTTACTCGGTGTCGGGGCCTATCGATCTCGCTCATATGGCATCACGTCAGTCAACCATCAGTCTCGTCAGATGCGCTGGCCTTCCTCGTCTGATATTTCTTAGGGGTCAATAATATTAACATGATGAATTTAGCTGACTTTTATTGTTGGCTTTTCAAGGCGGCAACTTGATATAAATAAAATCAGTTTTTGATTATAGTGATTACAATAAGTAAATTTAATATTTGGCCATCTAGCCTCGTAGAATCTTCACTAAACTTCATTGAATCAACCGTATGAGACGAATTTGAATGACTTGATTCCATTTCTAATGACTTCAAATATCTTCTTTGATCATGCTAACTACTTTGACTTTGACTTATATGATTTTCATGTATACACAACCGGTACCACACATCAATTCATCTCAAATCTGAGGTCTTTCAATGCCCATGAAGGCTTTAGTGGGCCAGAGGAGCAGCAGTTTTTCTTGAGAATATGAATATGGCAAGAATATCTTCCTTCCCATTATGTTGATTTTCTTAATAAATCTATTTGAAATAAATAAAATAATGTTGTACATGACAAGTGTGCAGTAATAGCTGGCTCTGAAAAAAATTGTTGCTAGAAATTTTCCTATTCAGTGTATATAACATATATCATAACTGAATGCTCGAAATAAAGACAACAAAAAAATTTCAGTGAAGAAAGGTGCAGGTTGGTACTTTGCAGATGACAATCCGGTTGTTATTCTGTTCAATATGTCCCTGAAATTTGCTTTTCTTGCTGCTTCAAGCAGTGCTACAAAGCATAAAAGATATTATTATTGTTATGTAACCAAAAAGGATACCGTGATGAAATACATTTATGTATCCCTAATGAAATGCAAATTAAGACACATTATTTGTGTATTCTAACCTAATATTCAAAATTTGTCAAGGAAGTTGACTGAATAAAGATTTTCTATAGTCATATAGCTGCAACAACAAAGGTATGGCAATATTATTTTTCCAATGGTACTAATGTTTAGAAGTGAAGATGCTCCACAAAAAAGTACATGGAATTAGACAAAACGATTAAGACGACCTATAGAACCAATGGTTAGTTGCACTTGCTTCGCCATTTTATTTGGAAATTAACCCAATCTCGAACTGGTTGATTATTCATTTATATAAGGCGTCATATATTCATTTATTGAAAAATTGAATAGACAAACTTTAACATTGGCCAATTATTCATTTATTTTTATAAGCATGTTTGTTTGTTTAATAAATAAATATTTTAAGTGCTTGATAAAATATTAATTTAATGATAGATAACTTATTCCATCATTTTTTTTATATTTACTGCACTTAAAAAACTATTTCTATTACTAGAACATGAAATATAATGGAAATATTGGACAAATAACTAGATAAACAGCTTAACAATCTAATTTTATTTTTTAATAATATTTGATAAAAATATTAAATACATAGCAGATAGATAAATTAAAAATCAAAATGTTATTTTTTAATTAAAAAAATATTGAAAAAATAGCTAAATGAAAATATTAAAATTCTAAATTTATTATTCATAAAATATTATAAATAATGCTTTATTAGTACCTTTATCATAAGTATTTATTTATTTTTAATCAATATCATCTTACAATTAATTAATTAGGTTCAATTAAAGCTCAATAATGGCTCAAAGTAAATGAGAATATTAATAAACAAAATTGAATAATATTTTGAATCTTTGATCATGTTAAAACTTGACTCAAACTCGATAAGACAATAAATGAACGGGCATGAACAATTTATACTCAGCCTACACAATTCATTTATAGCCTATTAGAAGTTTTGATTTACATAATGTTAAATGCTATATCTTATCTGATTTCTTTATAAAACTGCATGATAGAATGCAGTAGCCTTTTTATAAGCGTTAAGCGTTACATAAATATGTTGGAAATATTCAGCAATGAGATTGTTGGGCTATGATGAGCCATTGCATGAAATATGTTGTCTAGCTGAATTATTTTTCATAAAGGATTAAATAAACAGGAATTAGATTTATATGCTTGGATATTGCATTACTTTATTTCCTCTTACAATTCTCTATAAAATCTTTGAATATGAAATAATATCCTCTATTTTTGTATTCACATGCAAGGTCACACATCAGAAAATACATACAAAATAACATGCAACGCAAATAAAGAAAAAAACAATATTGTAGAAAAGATGTAGGATGTTAACCAAACCCAGGGCCACTGCTTGCCAAGTAAGGTAGCCGATAAACATCAGCCTTCTCCAACTTCAGTACGTAACTGTGAAAAAATATAAAGAAATGGGATCAGGATTTATTAGTCTTATAACCAAGGTAAAGCTTCATAGAACTTCAATACCATATGAAAAGCTGCTTGTAACTCAATGAAGAAACAAAATAGAAGAAATTAATCATAATGTCCACCAGAAATTCATATTTTTGCAGATCATACATGGATAGCATGGCACGAGAGTTGCATAATTTTATTCGTATGATGGCCATGATCAGTGCATCACCAAGTTACATCTTTCAACGCATGGATATACTAATTATGTGCTTCGGAGTACAGAAGTTGTCATCTCACCAAATTTAGATCAGTGATTACAGTGCTATATGATTTCCATATTTAAGGAGGGTTCATATGTAATATCCGGAAATAAAATAAAATAAAAAGATATAATCGAATGGACAAAGTCAATTCAACTGAATCCGCTGTGTCGAATTCGGTATTTAGCATCGGGGATGAATACGAAGAGGGTTCCGCCATTATCATAACGAGGGAAATTTGAAGGGTTCGTATCGCCTTATAAATCGTGATAGGAGCGAGGCAATCGAGCGAAAGAGAGTGAACAGTGTGTGCGAGATCGACAGGGTTGAGTAACGACCCCCCTACATACTTTGAGCATTTGAGCTCCAATCTACTCAATCCACAACTAATTTTCCTAGATAAACTTCCAAAAAGCTTACTCTGAAGGTAAATCCTTTTCAAGTGGCTTTAATGAAGAAAAGGAAAATGAATGTGACAACACATCATGCAGCTCATCTTAGTCTGTTGGTTGGGTTTTGGCTACTAATCAGTGGCAGAAAACATGAGGACACATGCCCCCACTGGCCTGAAAAAAAAAAGTATGTCTAGTTATGATAATTAGTTAAAACGTAGAGAGAGAGAGAGAGAGAGAGAGAGACGACTGGAGTGGGAAGACAAGTTTGAGGAGCGTTTGGTGAGGAAGACGCGAAGGTCACCGAGATGGCCTTCGAAGGGATAGATGAGGACAACCGCTCATTTTTCCTATGACTTGACAGTGGGAGGCTAGGCGGATTCGACGAGGCCGATTTGGGACCCTCTCGTCGGAAAAATTATTGGGTCAGGTGACCGGAGGCCAAAAATAAGTTCGGACATCCAATAAAAATTTGCCGCGTCACCTTGCGCTTTTGACTTGCACTTTAGTTATGCTTTACTTGCGCTTTACCTACGCTTTACCTGCGCTTTACTTGCGCTTTTTGACTTGCGCTTTAGTTGCGCTTTACCTGCGCTTTAGTTGCGCTTTACCTGCGCTTTACTTAAGCTTTACCTGCGCTTTACTTGCGCTAAATTTAAAATAATATTTTATTAATATCCGGACCTATCTCTGAGTTCGATCACCTGACCCAATAATTTGCCCTCTCGTCGACCTTGCCGTCTTCAACGCCGATGCCACCGCCAAAGCGCGAGCTTTGTAAAGGCGGAGTAGGTGGACAAGGTCCTTTAGGTTGTGGGTTCGCCCAATGGGATTATAAAAGATTGAATTACTCGAGGCAGCCATGGCTAAACTTCGTAGACTTGCAGCTATCATCTGTAAGATTGCCTTTGCATTTGCTCTAGACACAAGGTTTCGGGACTGGTTTGGATGATTCTCTCTCTCTCTGATTTCCAACATCCTTGAAAAGAAGTTTAAAATTAAATATGTATGAAAATATATTCTTCTCAATAAATGATCCAATATGTCGACACGGTCCAAAAAATTCAAATTTAAATTGACCCATGAGTCAATTATCTAACTAGTTTAATTAATGGGTTGGGTTTCAATTAACATGCTAACCCATTTTTTATTCAAAAAAGATCCGTTTAATATTTTTTATTTGTGGATATAATCTTCTTATTTTTAATTAAATATAATAATCTTTATAGTAAAAATAATGGCGATCCTTTTGCAAATTGAAGAGCTATTACACTAATAAAGAATATAAAATAACTAATAAAAATTATAAAAAACAGGAGGGAGATACATACGGGCTACCTGCTTCGATAAAACGTTCAGCCATTATAGCATTCTGACACGTAAACTCTCCAAATAGAGGGATTCTGAAACAAAAACAGAACAATTACACCGAATCTACCGAAAGAAGAATATGTGCAAACGATTTAGTTCATAATACTGGAAAATTGGAGATTTACTCAGTGAGTAACAGTATTATATACCCTGCACTAGATGTTAAAATGAAACCACATTGATCCTGATTGATCTAAAGCTAAAAAGTGACAAAATCAATACTGTTACTGTTCTAGAGAAGTCAATTTAAGTTGACAGTAATGGAGTCAACAAAATATGAAGAGGGTTGAAATATTAAAAGATTAACTCGAGAAAGTAACTTCCATAGAAAACAAATTACCAACCTTAGTTTTTGAAACAAGCTAGGTAAAGATGATTGAACACTCAACGGACTGTTGAGAATGGCAATCTTGGAGACTTTATCAGAGTTCCTGAGGGCCCAAGTCAATCCATATGATCCAACAAGATATCCCTGTAGGAACATTAATCAATCCATTTGCGCATCAAGAGTAAACTTTCCACAAAAAATTACAATTTTCGACCTTCGTATGAATAAACAGTTAATTATAAAAAAAATGATTACAATTTCCAGGTATAAGGAAAACAATATTAACAAATTCTATAAAATCTAGAGCAAGTTCCCTCAAGACCTGAATCACTAGGAAGAAAGGCGAGTTGATATTTAGCGTATCAAGAAGTTTGTCAAATTCTTTGTGAAATTCTTCTTCTGCATCACGGTCTGAAAATTCAGTTCATTATCAAGATGAAATAAATAAATTTATTAAAGATAACATACCTGTGTATGAGAACCCATATCCTGGTTGAGGTTTGTCGCTGAAACCAAATCCAATCCAATCAGGAGCAAAGCAGTGAAAACCAGCACCAGACATCTAATCAATGACATGATTATTTAACGCACAGATTGAGGCTACAAATTAAGTATGCTGTTGGCAAAATGAATTAAAAAAACATGGGTATTACAACCGAGGAGAAAATCCCTACTCTTAAACACTTTGGCACATGTAAATATTAATCTTCTTCCCAAACTGCCTAGTGAAACACGGCATACAGATGTTTCTAATCTATAATAAGGAAGGTCTACAAAGTTCACATCGTCCTCTTTTCAAGAGTAGAAAACAAATGTGTGACAGACTACTGGCTGTTTGCTAATCTTTTATTGGAAAGTGCAAATCAATTGTAATTATACTTTCTTTGGGAAAATTCGAACATAGACTTTTGGATTTTCAGTTTTGCAGCCGAACTTGTCATCATGAATGATATATCACCTTGGTGGTGAAAATATCGTTCTCTAATGGGCTCAGACTAAGAAACTATAAATTTTATCTCGACTACCATAATCAAATTTAGGAGAGAATTGCATATGACTCCAAAGAATCAAAATGATATTCAATCATATTTTGACTATGATAGTTGGAATGCTCTATCATCAATTATTGTAATCGGATAGTCGTGGTGAACTACATATGACCCCAAACGGTCGAAATGACATTCGAATATGTATCTAACTATAATAATCTAGATAAATCTAGCATTAATTTCATATTCAACCATCTTGATGGTAAATGATTATTTCCCTAAAGAGAGATAATATCACTTATTATCAATCGTTTGAATATGATGATAATGATCGTCCTTGATTTTGACTTTCCCAAAGAAAATAAATTTTCACTCATTCTACTTAGGAGCTAAATAAAGTGGGATTTGATTTATTTGGGGTCTTGAATATCCTACAAATACAAGTCTTCGTAGTTAATTACATCATAGGAAATTTAAGCTTCATATTAATACTCTCGATTAAAATAATTGTAGAAATTTTATTTTGGATTTTTAATGAGTGATTTGAAGGGAATGAGGTTGGAATTTTCAAATGGGATTAGATCATTTTTTTAAAACTTCTTTTGGAGACCAATTGATGAGAAGTAGGAGGTATTTTGGAATTCTAAAACAATTCAGAAACACCCTAATCTATCCTATGTTTGGCTTTAATTTTTGGATGAGAGAAAGCTTTAGTTCAAGTTGGCATTTTATTAGAAGGTTGGGATTAAAGTTTCTATATTGGGGACTTATAATTTTGGGTCTGTCCTGTATCCTAAATCTAATTTGGCACTAAATAATAATGACCCAAACCTAACTAATGAAATGCGAATCTGGGCTTATCTCGGACTGGATTGGAGAGTCAGCTAAACCAATTAGGCGCTTTAAAGCCATAAATCCAATCTTATAAAAGATAGGTAAGGTTTGTTATTTAAACTTTTTAGAAATTAGAGCCGATATCAAGAGAATTTCCTAATTGGCTCATTTGCTTATGAATGGTAGGATTATGCTTAATGTATTTAAAACTTATTTCTTTAGTTGATTTCTAATGCAATACATGCAAATTGATCTTGTATGCAAAAATTATATAATGAACTTCAAAAATTAGGCATAAAAATAAGTTTTTTCCTAGAAATGCACAACATCCCCTAGACAAAGAGCACCATAACAGGTCATGTGGTCAATCAGAACCCCCAAGCGGAAGGTGCCTAATAAGGAGAGAAAGATATGAATACATGAAAAACCCATGGCATGCCCAGGCTTACTTCTTAGGAAATGCTTATCTTTCAGAGTCTAAAAATTTTATTTAATTACAGGTAGAATTTTTTGTCCTTAAGAGCCTAACTGTGTTCCAGACTAAAGCAAAACATTGTGTACAAGTAAGAAACCTAAAAAAATAGTCAATTTCTAAAGCATATAATTAAATGGAATCAACACATCATCAAATCATAGCAAATGAGTATAAAGGCCATATGGCAAGTGCCACTTAGTTACGACACAGGATCTGCAAAAATTTAAAGTGTCTGGGTTCCACTAACAACAAACTCGGATTCTAATCATAAAGAATGACGCGAGTTTTAAAATGGGATATTTTTCTTGTCTCTACTTTTTTAGCTCTTTCCTTTGGGCTACTTAGATCCACTGATTCCGAATATCCAAATGAAAAGAGCTTCTCCCTGAAGGGGTGTTTCTTTTCTCCTTGGATTTCAAGTCATCCTAATTTGGATCTCCAAATAAAAACAACTCCCCGAAGGGGTGTTTCCTTCCTCTTTTTATTCCAAATCAAATATTAATGTCTAATTTTAAATTAACTTTCACAACTCTTTAAAATTTAAATTTACATGTGAAAAATTTAAAGATGACTTTATACTCCCTGCATGTTATCCAAGGCAATTCATAGAAAATCAACAAAAATCCTAAGCATTTTATATACAATCTATTGCTCACATTTGAGAAAGCATATTCACTTGGCCATGCTTTTAATTTTCAAGGGGCTTAGCAATTTTAGCAAGATAGAAAAATTTCATTAATCATAGTTTAATTAGCCCCCTTTTTATAGCCCTATATAAGTATGGCCACCTGCAGAAAATTTCATTAGAGATCATTCATAACCTAGAAAAATCTAAAGCCCATCACATCTCATATCATAAATAGCATAGTAAAAGAAAACATCACATCACGACTCACGAGCATTACAAATAAAATTGGACCATAATAACCATGGAAAATCACGTAAAATCAACGTCACACAGAAAAGGCATGTAAAAAGAACAACGACATAGCCTAAAACTAGGATTGGTTGTTCTAACAAATCATTTATAGTGTGCGTGTGTGTCAGGCAATGCTGTTTGGATATATCCTAGATTGGTTATTGTTTGAAGTTTTATAATGTTATATTTGGTGTGTTTTTAGGCTAAGGAAAATTTTAATTTGAGTTTAAGTTTGATGTTTTGTCGTTTATTTTAAAGTTGATTTTAAGTGTTAGAATTGATTACTCATTGGTTCTCTAAAGTCCTAAATTTTAATTAGGTGTTTTAGTTCTTAAGCCTCAAAATTCAATACACTTATGCCCTCCCATTAGAATTTATATAAAGTATGAAGGCTTTTATTTATTACAACAACAACAACATCAAGCCTTTATCCCACTACGTGGGGTCGGCTACATGAATCCTTTTTCTCCATTGTGTCCTATTAAAAGTCAAATTCTCGTTTAATTCTAATAAAGAAAGGTCATTCCTAATATTTTCTAACCAAGTATTTTTAGGTCTACCCCTACAACCCGACAGCCCCCACATGGGTTACAAGCTCGCGTTGCTGAGCTCAAGTTGAACAATAACTATCTTTGTTTACACCAGGGTTGTGAGGTTTATTTCACCCTCATTGGAGATAACTTAATAACCTTATAGGCTCGAGTTACTCAGCAGTTATCTTTGGATTTATGTTTGATTTAGTTTATTGATTAAATTATCTAAGTTTATGATTAACTTATTAATGACTTATTGTGGTTTATGATTTACAATCCATTAAATTCACTCATGACGTTATCACAACGGGCATGAAGACCCAGGGTCTTCTTAAGACACTTAGCCCTGCAACCCGAGGTAGTCCATTCTAAAAAGTTCATCAATGAAATATTGGTTATACATTTTAATGTTATAATCTGATTTGATTGATTAGCCTAATGATTAACTAAAAATTTGATTATTTATTGATTACTGATTTTTAATTGAATATTTTAATGTATTTAATAAAAGGTCCATTTCTTGACTTTTTAATTTACATTAGTTTCTAAAGTTATTATATTTTTCATAAATAATAAATCCAGAGATGAGTCTAATGCCTTTGAGTTTGCTCAATTTGGAGTTTTCTATGATTAGTTATGAATTTTTAAAACTTGTGTATTTAATGGAAGTATTTAATTGATTAATTAGAGGGATTTTCTTATTTTTGTACCAAACTAATTTCAAATCACTTGAAATCTTCCCCAAATGTTAGGGATGACTTATGGGGGGTGATTTTAAGTGTTTAAATTTTATTTGATATTTTTTATTATTTTTAATTATTTATTTTAATTAATGGTTGAATTTCATTGATTATTAAATTTTGACCAATTCTGAAGGTTGGTGATAAGGCTTTTGAATTTTTTTGAATGTGTGTTTAATTATGAACATTTTAAACCCTAGTTTTGTATTTTTCTGATTTGATTTCACGTCTAATATAAGGGTTGTTTTTTGTTTTGCTTAATTTTATGGTCAAATGATGTTAAATGAAAGTAAAATTAAAACCTGGGGTGTATAATGTCACTAAGTTTACTGGTTTAAAGTTTCACCCCTATTGTGTGTGTAGAAATTCCTATGATTTTTCTAAAATTTCTAAACGTGATCCTTAATTATTTTTCCTAGGTGTCTCTAGTATTCAAATGAGCTTGAAATTTGATCATGCTAACCCTCATACATGTACAAACACACCACAGAAAAATAATAGGAAAATTTTACCTATTTGGACAATTATGAATTTTCAAAGTTATGATCCCAAAATGGACCCATCACCATGAAAATTCATTTCACAGCAATCCTGAGCACATTATGACTCAATAAAACAACATATGGTGTATAAAATGTTCAAAATCTAACCACAAAAAATTGAGCGTAATTTGACAACTGGATCATGAGAAAATTGAAAAACAATTGATTTCAATCATATATGAATTTCTCACAATACATTGATCAAAATGACTTTAAAATATTTTTATAAAATAGCAGTGGTCAATCCCTTTCCAATGAGTCCAACATCACTCAATTTGGTGAAAAAATAATTTTTCTGTGATTTTTGAATGTTCTAGGCAGTTAGATTAATTTTAAATCAATTTTTTTAATTAAAAAGGTAGCGGCGCTGCGGAGGCAACGTGCTGCATGCGTATGGCGGCTCGACAATGGCAGGACACGCAACAGCTCAACGTTCGGACATACGGTGGGACACATGGTGTGCGATCATGCGCCGTTTAACCACGTTAGCGGCCGAATCGACTGTTGGTTTCAAATGATGGGACATCAACAACACAAATTGTGCCACGCCACCCACCTCAATTATGCACTGAACACATTGAACGTGCTGTTTCGACCGGAGCATTCTGCGCTGTCCGATCGTGATACACGTGCGATCAGACGGTTCAGGTCACATGAAAAATCCTAGTTCAAAATGAACTATGATTTCAAATGCCCATAATTTTTTATCCAACCATCCAAATTTGATGAAATTTCAAACATAAGCTCTACTTGTGTAGATCTTTTAATACCTAGAATTTGGAGGCTCTATGCATTGAGATCTTTGAATATTAATCAATTTGATCCTGAAACTTCAAATTGGCATAACTTAGTAACTAATAGATGGAATTCTTCGATCTTGGGCTTGTTTTGCTCCTGGAGAAGTCCTCTTCAACTTTTCAAAGGACCTCAAGAGCTGGTTTGGGCTGGATTGAAAGATAGATTCAAATTATCTTTTTTCTCCTTTACTCTCTCATTCCTCTGAGGAGCTGGGAGAAAGCTTGGAGAATATAAAGAAAGCTCTGGAGAAGCAAGTGGAGAAAATTTGGGGGTTGGAGGAGGCTTAGAGAATGAGTTAGGTTAGAATACGGGTTTTGCACGCTTTTAGGCCATTTGAACCCTAACTTTTGTTTTTTAAGGCTAGGATGGATTAGAGGGGTTCATGGGATGCTTGCCACCTATCCTAGGTGGTTAGAACCTAGGGGGAAAGTTGCATGGGTGAGAGTGACTTAGTTAAGATCACATGAGGAGAGGGGGGATCACTTCTTTGGCTGAGATGAGAGTTGGAGAGGTCATGCATGTTGTAGGAATAAACTCCAAGGGATTTGAGGTCAAGGGTTGGTTGTCTGAATGAAATTTTGGCTACATGTATGGATTTGACCATTCCAAATGGGTTGACCAAGTCAAACCAATGGGGGCTTGTGCTTGGAGCATGCAATGAAATGATTTTGATGGTTTGATTTGGCTTGGATTGAAGTTTGGCTTAAGAAAAGCCTCTTTTAGGCACTTGGGTCAAGCCATATGGCTAAACCAAGTAGACCCAAGGGTTGGTCACCTATGAATGATTCTTGGGGTCACAATGGACTATCCCAAGGGTTCAAATTGGTGGGCATTGGATTTTGATTTGGTTAAGTGTATGGTTGGTTTGGTTAACCATGGTTGACTTGGTCAACCAGGTTGGACAAGGGTTGGGGTTAGATCCAACAAGTTCATAATGATGTCTTGAAACCAATAGAGGTGGTCCAAGCCATGGTGAGGTCTTCTTGTGTAAGATGCATGTTTGAGCCCCAAAGGGGTCATTTGGTCAACCTATGTCGACTTGGTCAATCAAGCATGACCAAGGCTTGGGTTTGAGTTCAATGCATCCGAAATGGTATTTGGAATGGCATTGGAAGAGATTTCATGGCATAGTTTATTGAGTTTGAACTGAGTTTGGATTTAGTTTGAACTTGTGTGAATTTGAGTTTTGATTGAGATTGATTTGAGTTTAAACTGAGTTTGGATTTAGTTTTGATTTAGTTAACCTCATATAAAAATGAGGTCAACACTGGCGCCCAATATTTATAAGTTTCCTTTCTAAATTATATATTTTTCTTATTAAATATAAACTTTCATGTGATCTGAATACAAGGTCGTCATAAATACAGAACTACATTGATGCATGAGTTTTAGCCTGCCTGTGTCCATAACTTGTCTAACAGGTAAAAAACAAACGTCGTGTATATTTTAACAGAGATGAAGCCAAGCTCTTGATAGGCACATGCCCCTCCAGCTTACAAAAACTTTTTTTTTTAAGAGAATTTACACTTTGCCCATCAAAAATGTGTTTTTGTAAAGCAATTCTCACGTAAAAATTGTGCTATCTAAGAAAAATTTATGCCTATTCCCTAGGCATGTAATGAGATTCTAAAACTTTCCAAAGCAGGAATATAAAGATCTTCCATCAGGGCATACTAATGAGCAGTGGAATAATTATTCGTTAACTAATAATCGCAACATAAATTATTCTCATTAAGCACCAATCAAGTATGAACCTACATAGGTGGGTTAAGGTTAATAGTGAAGACAATGACGATCACTTGCAAAAATTGATGAGTTCAATCTGTTGATGGTCATTTCTGCAGAAATTGTGTAAGAAAACAGTATTTCTGTTTGATTTCATCAAATATTAAGATATGATCAGTTTTTGAAAAAAAGTCCCATGCTAAAATCATAATCAAGATAAGTTCACAGGCAAACCTGAGACATTACTTCTCGATAACTATATGACTGGGTTGGAGCCCCATGAATAAACAAGATGATCCCCCGTTGTGAAGAAGATCCTGTAAGTTCACATGATCTATGAAAAAGGTATAATACTGGCATTAAGCATTTAGTATTTTTCTAAGGATAATATAAAATTAATCTTACTCTCGATTCTCTGATCAATCCTTTTTGCATTAGGGCTTGATTCCCCTACTACATAGCAATCTTAATCCCAATTCATACACATTTGGTTGTGCTTAAAAAAAGCATATCGGTAGTGATGGCAATCCAGGTTTAAAACCAACTGGGTACACTAGAAATAGGCTTGGTTTGTCTTTATAACAGTTAAAGTATCAATCCATTTTTCATGAGATGGATTCCTAAACCAGATAACTACAGAAATGTTAATCTCGATTCACACACCGTAACATCAGTGACATCAATCCAGGTAGAAGAGCTGGGCTTGGTATTATCTCTTTCTAACACAGTTGAGGTAAAAAGGCACGGGGTACCCTGGAACTAGGCTTAGTTGATCTCCATCTAACACAGTTGAGAAATCAAAGGTTTTCCATAATAGATCGGTCCGGCAACAGATACCCACATAAATCTTAATCCCAAATCATGCATCTTTAGTGATGTCAATCCAGGAAGATGTATTGGCTTGGTTTAGTCTCCACAGTTGAGGAATAAAAGCCAAAGGGTCCAAGAAAAAAACATAAGTAACATTCAAATCTCTTTATAAAATGGCTCCTAAAGAATCGTACGATTTGAAATGTCAGTTGTATGAATTTATGAATAAGGAACTCATTTAATCAAATAATTTACCTTAGAGTGCGCATGTGTACTTTCTTAAGAAGAAAGATAGATAAATGAGAATGTACATCGATTACATAGAGTTGAATAAAATGACAATCAATAACAAATATCCATTGTCAAGCACCGATGATTCATTTAATCAATTGGAATGTGCTGTCAAACTCCCTATAATTGATTGAGATCAAGATACCAATGAGTCAGAGTAAAAGAAATAGATATAACAAAGATAGCTTTGTAACTAAAGTACGATTATTATAACTTTTAAGTGATGCCATTTGGATAAACAAATGCTCCTAAAATCTTAATGAATTTGATTAAATGTACTTGGTCATACATTGATCAGTTAGTGATTATATTCATTGATAATATATAGATATAATCTAAGACCAATGAAGATCATACTAAATAATTGAAATAGTATTGGAGCTGTTGAGGAAGAATCAATTGTATGAAAAGTTCTCAAAATATTGATTCCAGTTGAGAATTATTATATTTTTGGGGCACATAATCAGTGGTGAAGCAATTTTAGTGGATCCTGAATGCCTACACCAAAAAATGTTATAGAGGTTCATAGTTTTCTGAATATAACTAGATATTATAGGAGATTTATTAACCAAATATGGCTATACCATTATGCAGATTTATGCAAGAAGATGTTAATATTGAATGGACAGAAAAAAATGAGAATAATTTTCAAGAATTAAAAAGGCTTCTAACAACTAAACTAGTATTAGTTATCCAATCAAGAATAGAATGCTTTCAAATTTACAGTGATATATCATTAAAAAGATTAAGATATTTTTTAATGCAAAATAAAAAAATAATTGCATATGTATCAAGACTGTTGAAATCGCATAAGAGAAACTATCGTACACATTAGGGGTGTAAGTGAGCCAAGATGGCTTGAGAGCCGAGCTTAGATATTTTTTAATGCAAAATAAAAAAATAATTGCATATGTATCAAGACTGTTGAAATCGCATAAGAGAAACCATCGTACACATTAGGGGTGTAAGTGAGCCAAGCTGGCTTGTGAGCCGAGCTTATTGAGATCACGAGTCGAGCTCGAGCTTGACCTCGAGCATGTTTAGTAAATGAGCTCGAGTTTGAGTTTGATGAGGCTTGGCTCGTGAGCTCGCGAGCCGACTCGAATCACAATTAATATTTCTTTTAATAATGTTTATTTTCTTTATTAAATTTTGAATATTATTAAAAATAAATAATAAATTCTTTTTTTAAATCCCGCCTAAATCTTGCAATTCAAGGCGGACGATGTTAGGCCCCAAGGAGGACAGCTCATTGATAGGAAATACTTGAGTTCGCAAGTAACCCTAAGGTAATACTTGAATTTGCAAGCAATCCTAATCCAAATTGATGTACAAACAGCAAGGGTACTGCTGTTTATAGCAGAAAAACAGCCCAGAACAGTAGAAAAAACAGAGAAAATTTGTAGGAAAATCTGAAGGAAAACTAGCAAACAACTTGTATTCCACTAGAAGATGAATCAAAACAACAACGGTACAATATTCTTCAATTCGAAATTCTGAAGGAAAACTAGCAAAAGCGCATGGTCGGCCCCCTCTCTCCTCCTTGCTTGGGCCGGCAGTGGTAAACCCAAACCGGTCCACTAGGGACCGAGTCAGGAGCAATAGCCAGCCCCTCCTGGGCCGGCGTAACATTACTCCCCTCACAAAAACTCACCTTGTTCTCAAGGTGAAAGTAAGGGAACTGCTGCTTCACAATCTCATAGGGCTCCCAAGTAGCCTCATAGTCGAGGAGATCCTTCCATCTGATCAACACATCTTTGTTTCCCTTTTTATCAAATCTTACCCCTTCCATCTCCAGGGGCTCCATGACCACCTCCAAATCCTCTGTCAATGATGCTGGTAACTCAGTACTAACTGCAAGCTCCCCTAGAGCTCTCCTCAACTGTGGCACATGGAACACTGAGTGTATGGTAGCGGTTGAGGGTAACTTCAAACGAAACGCCACGGCTCCAATCTTCTTCAGAATCTCATAGGGACCGAAGTACCTCGGGGCCAATTTCTCGTTCCTCCTGTTAACCATTGATTTCTGCCTGTCGGGCCTTAGCTTCAAGTACACCATCTCCTCTACTTCATATTGTATGTCCTTCTTGTGTGTATATGCTCGCTTTTTAATGATTTGTTGTGCTCTTCCCAGATGTTTCTTCAACTCATCCAACAAAAGGTCTTTTTCCTCTAGGTATTGTTCCACTGAAGAGATAGGTGTACTTTCTCTCCTATAGTGCACTAGGTGTGGGGGGTCCCTCCCATACAACAATTTGAACGGGGTGATCTGAAAAGCAGAATGGTACGAGGTGTTGTACCAATACTCTGCCCATGGTAACCATTGAGCCAACTTCCGTGGTGTTTCTGAAGCAAAACACCTCAAATATGTCTCTAAGCTCCAGTTTACCACCTTTGTCTGTCCATTTGTCTGAGGATGATAGGCGATACTTCTCTTGAGGACAATGCCATGCATTCAGAACAGTTCTCTCCAAAACTGACTAAGGAACACTTTGCCTCTATCAGTCACAATTGATTCAGACATCTCGTGTAATCTAACCACTTCCCTGATAAAAGCTACTGCCACTGATACCGCGGTGTACGGATGTCGTAGGAGGATGAAATGTGAATACTTACTGAGTCGGTCCACCACTACCAAAATGACTGTGAATCCCTCTGAGCAGGGTAGGCCTTCGATGAAATCCATGGCCACTTCCTCCCATACTCTGTTTGGAAGTGCCAATGGTTGGAGTAACCCTCCTGGTGCCATTGCTATGTATTTATTTCTCTGACACACCTAACACCTTGCCACCATCTCCTCCACATCCTTATGCATCCCCTTCCAGTAGAGTTCAGCTGCTAACCTCCTGTATGTCTTCTGCACTCCTGAATGGCCTCCTACTGTGCTGCCATGGAACTCCTGCAACAAGTGGGGAATATGTATGGAAGTTCGTGGCATCACAAACCTCCCGTGATACAATAGTCTCTCTCCCTCAATGCAGTAACCCGGATGACTACTCTTGTCTTTCCTCAGATCCTCCCCGATCATTCCCAATTCCCTATTAAAGACAAAGGAAAATTACAAATTCCCTAAACAGCCCCTAATTCAAATTTTCCCCTCCAAACAAGTATTAATCAGGGTGTGGGGCCCAAGCGCATGGTCGGCCCCCTCTCTCCTCCTTGCTTGGGCCGGCAGTGGTAAACCCAAACCGGTCCACTAGGGACCGATTCAGGAGCAATAGTCAACCCCTCCTGGGCCGGCGTAACATTACTCCCCTCACAAAAACTCACATTGTCCTCAAGGTGAAAGTAAGAGAACTGCTGCTTCACAATCTCATAGAGCTCCCAAGTAGCCTCATAGTCGAGGAGATCCTTCCATCTGATCAAAACATCTTTATTTCCCTTTTTATCAAATCTTACCCCTTCCAGCTCCAGGGGCTCCATGACCACCTCCAAATCCTCTGTCAATGATGCTGGTAACTCAACACTAACTGCAAGCTCCCCTAGAGCTCTCCTCAACTGTGACACATGAAACACTGAGTGTATGGTAGCGGTTGAGGGTAACTTCAAACGATACGCCACTGCTCCAATCTTCTCCAGAATCTCATAGGGGCCGAAGTACCTCGAGGCCAATTTCTCGTTCCTCCTGTTAGACACTGACTTCTGCCTGTAGGGCCTTAGCTTCAAAAACACCTTCTCCCTCACTTCATATTGTATGTCTCTCATGTGTGCATCTGCTCGCTTCTTCATGATTTGTTGTGCCCTTCCCAGATGTTTTTTTAACTCCTCCAACACTTGGTCTCTCTCCTCTAGGTACTATTCAACTGAAGAGACCGGTGTATTTCCCCTCCCATAATGCACTAAGTGTGAGGGGTCTCTTCCATAGAGCACTTTGAAAGGGGTCATTTGAGATGTAGAATGGTATGAAATATTATACCAATACTCCGCCTATGTTAACCATTTAGCTCACTTCCATGGTGTTTCAAAAGAAAAACACCTCAAATAGGTCTCCAAGCTCCGGTTCACCACCTGTCTGTCCGTCTGTCTGTGGATGATAGACGGCACTTCTCTTGAGAACAGTGCCCTGCATCCTGAAAAGTTCCCTCCAAAACTGACTAAGGAACACTTTGTCTCTATCAGACACAATTGATTCAGGAATCCCGTGTAATCTAACCACTTCCCTGATAAATGCTGCAGCCACTGATACCACAATGTATGGATGTCATAGGAGGATGAA